GCTATTTGCCTGTAATCATCATGCGCGATAAACCCTGAATCCTTCCTCTGCAGGCGCTCGAGGCGCAGTGCCGCAGTCTGCCCGGAGTCGTGGTCGTGGCGGCCGTGTGGCTGCCACTCGTCCTTACCAACAGTACCGAGGCCAGCACCAATACCGCCACAGCCACAGCCACTGCTGTAGGCCCAGGGCTCCTCCCAGCACACCTACCCGTCATCGAAAACGCCACGGCCGCTCTAGAAGATATGTTCATGCGGCACGAAGCGGCATCATTGGGGCGCAACCAGTCCGCATCCGCATTCAAAACGGCATCCAAGGGGCAGCCACAGCCTTTGAAGACCGCGCCGTCAGCACGGGAGAGCTGTGTACTGCGGCTGTTGCTGCTGTACGAGTTGGTTGTGGATGCGGCCCTGTCGGCATTGATGCCGGTGAATGTGCTGCGCAACGTCGCCATGACGGCGGTTGACAGTCCGCTGGCGGGGATGATAGACGCAGACCTGTGCGTGAATGCGGACCTGACGGAAACAGTGATGCGCAACCACCGCAGGTGCGGCGGAGGGCAAGTGTGTGTGCGTGTGTGTGTATGTGTGTATGTCTGTGTGTAGAGGGGAGGGGGGATGCGGTAGAGAGCTATGGGAATATATGGAGGTTGACATAGCACAGCACAACACAGCACAGCACAGCACAGCACAGCACAGCACAGCACAGCACAGCACAGCACAGCACAGCACAGCACAGCACAGCACAGCACTGTGTCGGCTAAGGTGACTTCGGGAGGGTGGATGTTTGCGTGACGTGGCATCCTGTATTGCAGGGTTTCGGAGCTTCAGCGGGTGGCTGAGGAGCAGCATGTGGCCTGGGTGATGCCCGCCTGGGACACCTCCGCTCGCATGTCCTCCACTGCGAGAAATGAGCTGACTGATGCGGTCATATCGGGTAAGCTGATATTAGGGCCCTGCAAGGCGCTTTCCTTAGATGCCGTACGTTGATGTTGCATTGCGCACCTATTTGTCGCCCATCAAACTCGTGGCATTTTGGTTTTTTTCACTTTCTTTTTCATATGATTTCTGCTCGTGTTGTGCCCCGTGGCACTGTCATGTATGATGTGTGAAACAGGGGGGTATATCTTCACCCGTGGCCGCTATCGGCGAAACAATGCCTTCCCCGGTATTATTTCGGGGCACCCTCATCTAGTCACCCTAGCCAACATCTCAGTGGATCGCTCAGGTTCCGCACCCACCACCAGCATCCAACGGAATCTGTCGGGTCGACAGCGGCCCAACTCCGTTCCTGGTCAGCTCGCAAGTCAACTTTATCCCAGGTCACCACTGTCCATCAACTAGGGGCGCAATACATTCCATCATCGGAAGGATTTTCGACCCTAACAGGCCTCGATCCCGGGATCTCCCGGGGGCATTGGTGCGTGCCCCGTGGTACTGTCGTACGTAGTCGTAGTAGTGTTACAAACACAACCCTTCTCTCCCTCCCCCTTTTTTCGTATATGTTTCCTGGCTGGTTCAGTTCCGCTATCCCGGAAGTCCCATCTTCGCGAGCTGTGGGAGGAACGTCGGGAACTGTTTCCCTTCGCCCTGGAGCGCGGCTATGCGCTGGGACACAACGCCACAGACTACCACAGGTGATAATGGTAACCGCTGTGATATGGGTATTGATTGTGGGGTTGTCGTAGCAAGAAGTGACCATGCTTGTAAGAATATATAGGTGCCACCGCCCGCTGCCTGGCCTGGCAGAGGTTGAACACACAAGACATGCAAGGTGATGTAGCTGGCAACTGACAAGTGCGGTATTTTTAACCAATTACTGAAGTTGCCGTTCCCGCATCACCAACTGACTGACCCAGGTGGTTCACAGCCAGGGAGGATTACGCCGTGGACTACGCGTCGGGTTATGAACCATGGTTCATATCGTCAAGGTGCGGATGCGAGGGGTTGGGGGAGGCGAGCTGCACGCGGCCTTGATCGGCCTGGGATGTCGATTTGGAGTTCTAAGCGAAAATGATGGCGCCAAGCCAGTGTAATGCGTAACACCGTTACTGGTTGCGAATGAAAGGCGCAGTGGTGCAGGGCATTGCCCACTTTCTCCAATTGCTTGAACGGAAAATTGCTGCCCTGCGCAGGAAATTGCTTCCCATGTATGACGGGCGCTTCAGGTACGGCAGCCGTACTCCTTGTAGCAGCTTTTCTTCTTCATTTGACGCTTAGTCCTTTCACCAATGAGCACCTTCAGTAATACCCTTGAGCATCAAGAAACATCCTCGTAAGCTCTTAGTAAGAGCTTACGAGGGTAAGAGCCTCTTACCCTCGCTTTCAGGGTGCGACAGTCCGATCGGGTCCCGACAGGAATGGCACTTGCGCTGAAAATCCCGACAGGCTTTGAAAAATGCTTTCGGGCGGACCCGACGAAAAAGGGGGAAAATGCCAAACGGCCATCGGGAGCCCCCGACGGGGCCCGGAGGGCTCCCGTCGGGGGACCCGACAGGGTTAGGGGCGCTAGGACCGCCCGATCGGGTGCCGTGGGTCGTCGGTGGGCCCTTCGGCGACGGACAGCTACAGCGATACATAATGGCATTCATAACTGGATGGAAATATGTAATGTAGTGGTAGCATTCGTTCACTTCGTTGCCTCTTCTTCTTTATCCTCTCACTCTGCTGTACAGGGATCCATGCTTGGATGCATAAGCGAAGGGCACACTACCTTATCTCGACCTTATTGACAATTAATACAAAGACCATATGCAGCTTTACATTACCCTTTCGAACGTTTGCTGCCTCGTCCTGTAAGTCTGTGGGCTTTACCAAAACAGCTTGATGCTCACAGGCAGACGTGCATGTGTTGCTGTGTGTGTGTGTGTGTGTGTGTGTGTGTGTGTGTGTGTGTGTGTGTGTGTGTGTGTGTGTGTGTGTGTGTGTGTGTGTTCGTGCATATCAGAACTGTGAACTGCAAACTGAGAACTGGAAACTGCGCATATAAAATACGAATAAATGTAATTTCAAGCGGCACACAGCGAAATTTCGTTCTTGCGTCACCCGACAGGTTTTGGGATGGGCTATCGGGGCACCCGACAGAAATTGAAAGATATGCAAAAACGCTATCGGGTGGGCCCGACGGGCATGGGAAGGGGAAAACCGGCAACCCGACCATTTCAGGAAGGTCCTGTCCAACCCTGCTCGCTTTTATTGTGCTTTTGCACCGAATCATTCAGAGGCTACTACATGAACAAGGTCGTGGCTGTGACGCACGCCGCCAAGCTCCTAACGTTTCGGGTGCTACCTGATGTGTGGCTGGTGCACCGGCCTCATGAGGTACAGGCTTCGAACTGGGGATGGAGGCATAAACACCAAAACGACTCCGACTCGCCATTGGACCAGGTGTGGGTTGGATCAGGGTGGGTAGGTGGGCGGGAAACGTGTGGGTGGGACTAAGGCGCTGGGGAGAGATGGGTCCTGGGCCTGGAACTGCCCTCATCATCACTTAGGGTTTTGCTCCTCCTCCTCCGCCTCCGCCTCCTCCACCTCGCCTCACCGCTTGTCTGCTGTCTTCACATAGCCCCCGCGACATCACTTCACTTGTCCCTCACCCCACAGAACATAACAATCAACGGGACACCGGTGCTCCCCCGCACCGCATTCTTCGAACGGAACAAGTACTTTTCCTCAGTCTGTGCACGTCATATGCGGAACCTGTCGTACGTTCCCGTGGTGGACGAGGCCACAAAGCATTGTCGACAGGTGCTGCCCTGGTGGGATGGCGGCAGCAGGCAACGGTAAATAGCAGTGCAATGTGCAGTTCAGTTTCCGCATCAGCGCTTCGGTCGGATTTCATGGATCCGATTTCGCTGGAAGTAACCTGCATATCGTGACAAACCTTGTACGGGTGCGAAATAGTTGTTCCAGTCGTAGTGGTACTGGTAGAGGGTGCCAGGGGTTCAGCAGCTAGGTTGTTCCAGGGTGTGCGGAGGAATGAGACGTCACCGCGCCGAAAAGGTGTCGGGTCGGTTATGATTACCGTGAATCGAATAGGAGGGAGGGCAACGTCGCCAGTTGGTGAGGTGTGACACAAATGTGGAATGTGATAGTTCCGGTTGGGTGCGTGCCCCTGCCCCTTGCTTCCCGTGGACACGGCTAACTGTGTGTAACGAAAGAGATGTGTAAAAAATATACCGCGCTCCTTTTCAGTGGCGCTTTCCACAGGCCAGGTGTGCATATGTGCCAGTACGACAGCGTAGTTAGGGACTCCCAATGATTGCCACGTGAGCCCTGACCCCCTGCTATACCGGGCCCAGGTCGATCTGACTATTAAGCTGCAAAGCGTACGTGGGTGGCTCCAGGCTGGAATGGCCTTGCTCACTGGCACTAGCGTCCACGGCGTCCCTAATGAAGTCCCGCAGGCTGCACCATTTCAGAGGAGGAGAGAGAGAGAGAGAAAATATGTGTGTGTAAGCGTGCGTGCGCATGTGTGTGCCCATAATTATTCACGCTGCGCCAGCTTCTATCCCAAATGCAGAACGGTCTGGCGTATGGAGGAGCTGAATTAAGGATTGGAGGCCTAAGGTAATGGGATCAATAAATACAAAGCAAACCCGAGGCATGGTGCAGAGCAAAACAACTTTTATCATCTGCAGGTATGGAAAGGCAACCCGTATCATATATGTCATAGATCAAGGAGAAACTTGCGCTTGGTCACGCGTAATTATAAGCATAGCATACAAACCCCAAGGCATTGTTTTTTGGAGCCTATTATGATATTCTGTCTTTTAAACTTGCGTCGGTAACACTGCAGCTCATGTGTTATGACCCTGAGCAAAACGGGAGGCAACCATTAAATAGAAGTAGTTACGCATTTGGTTTAGACAGTTTTTTTCATCATCTTTGGCAACTTTTTGCAGGGCCTTACGCGTCGCCGTACCATCAAGACATGTTTCATTAAGATTCGGACTTCTTAGGTTATGTAGTGTTCTTCACGCCTTCTACTTGTTTGCAAGTTTGCACACGTCTTTGTTAATACTCCTAAAATGCAGCAGTGTCTTGGCAAGATGGAGGGGCTCCGGATGGCTAAGTCCACCTGTTTCAGGTAACTCAGGCGCCCAAATTTCGTGACTGCCTTTTGGACTAAAATATCGAGGATTGAACATAAAAGATCTAGCGCTCTGTCGCTATGTTTGACAGAACAGCTTGCGGCGGTAATTGTTCAGCTAGCCCAAGGACGAAGCAGCATCTCTATACTGGAATTTTGCAAAATATATCATATGTGCTCGTGGAATATAAGGATTTATGTAAGGATCTTGTATGTGGATATTGTTCCCTTCTGTCGCTTGCCATGTTGCAGGGCCAGTGCGCCTAAGCGGGTTGCGGGTGTTCGCGTGAACCGTCGCTCCTGCCACATCGTCGCTTCGGCGGTTGCAACCAAGACTGTGAAGATTGGCACTCGCGGCTCGCCGCTGGCACTCGCGCAGGCTTACTTGACACGCGACCTCCTAAAGGTTCGAGAAGGGGTTTGCAGGGCATAGTTGAAAGTCGACTTACAATATGTTTTGGGAGATCGCTTGGATCTACAAGCCAACCTTTATCATCTGCTTCGCACGTTGTTCAGCCGTATCGTGGAGGCCCAGAGCCTTGAGCATTAAGTGCGCTGGAACTATTGCGGATCGCAGAAAAATTTCCCGGAGCTGAACGAGGAGGGTGCTTTGGAAATCGTGATTATTAAGACCACCGGTGACAAAATCCTTAACCAGCCTCTGGCGGACATCGGTGGCAAGGGACTCTTCACCAAGGAGATTGACGATGCGCTGCTGGGCGGAAAGATCGACATTGCCGTCCATTCCATGAAGGTACTAGCTCTTGAAAACCCTGGGCACGTTGCGTTTTTGTAACCGTACACCCTGTAACCCTTCCCACTTTCCTTCACCTGTAATTCAGCGGCATGGAACCGACCGGTCTGCATCTATTGCCTATCTTGTCTTCTTCCCCAGGTCAAACCGTACCCTGTCTAATGTTTGCACTTCGTGCATTCCCCGCCCGATCAGGATGTGCCCACGTATCTGCCAGAGGGCACCATCCTGCCCTGCAATTTGCCGCGCGAGGACGTCCGTGACGTGTTCATTTCGCCGACTGCGAAGGACCTTTCGGAGTTGCCAGCTGGCGCCGTTGTCGGCTCTGCTTCCTTGCGCCGCCAGGCACAGATCCTGGCCAAATACCCCCACCTGAAGGTCCGTACTGATCAAGGCGGGGATCCCTGCTACCCTTGTTTAACCTGTACCAGTTGCTACCAGTTTACCTTTCATGCGGTTTGGTATTCTGGCCGGTAGATGGCCCTCTCAGAGGGCGACACCCGTTAAAGGTCTCGGCACATGGCGATGTTCGCTTCATATTTGCTAACATGTCCCAGCATATGCATCTCCTTGTTCGTGGGTGGGCTACACCAGGCTAATCCCAGTAGCTGCCGTTGACTGTTGCACGGGAGGCACTTTCCTGGATATCGCGAGTCCGCGATATCCACGCGAGTCGCGTGTGATGCGAGTCACGCGAGTAAAGAGTGCGTGGGATGAACCCGGGTAATCCGCAGTAATGAGATCCCAGTATTGATGTTAAGCATTGCCCTACACTTTCCTGCAGGTGGAGAATTTCCGTGGGAATGTTCAGACCCGCCTTAGAAAACTGAACGAGGGCGCCTGTTCGGCAACCTTGTTGGCTCTTGCGGGCTTGAAGCGCCTCGATATGACGGCGCATATCACGAAGATATTGAGTATTGAAGAGATGCTCCCAGCCGTTAGCCAGGGGGCTATCGGCATTGCGTGCCGTACTCAAGACGATGCCAGCCGCAAGCTTCTTGCGGCGCTCAACCACGAAGAGACGCGCATCGCTGTGGTGTGCGAGCGTGCATTCCTTGCGGCTTTGGACGGTTCGTGCCGTACGCCAATTGCAGGTAAGTGCTAGTGCTCTGTGTATTTAGTTCAGTCCAAGGCGGGAAAGAGGATGCGAGTATGATTAGAGGGTGGCAAGCTGGGAATGCGATTAGGGAAGTGGATCCGGCCCCCATGGCAACGTTGTACAAAAAACAATTGGGGATCTTTGTTGGAGTCCAACTCAACTTGATGGTCCGTAAGATTTACATGAATACAGGGTCCGCCTAGGCTGAGTAGGAAAGAAGTGCAAGAAATTGCACCATCTTGTTCCTTTGCGTGTACCTCTCACTTTATCTGGAATTGCCTTCGCTGCTGCTTCTGCAGGCTACGCACACAAGGGCTCTGACGGGCAATTGCATTTCAGCGGCCTGGTGGCGACACCCGATGGCAAGCAAATGATGCGGACAAGTCGCGTGGCAAGCTTCACGGATGCGGACGCTGTCAAGGCCGGTGAAGATGCGGGTCGCGAGCTCAAGGCAACTGGGCCCAAGGAGCTGTTCATGTACTAAGCAGTTTGCCTTGATTGGGGACGGATTTTTAACCGTGCGGTTAGCTATGTGACGTACTCGGGAACTATACCTCACGATTGTGTGACAAGGGGATTTTCCAATCGTGAAACTAGGGATTGCAAGAGGGACTTTCGTGTCATGTTTCTTGGGCTAACGTTAAGCAAGGGCGGGGTTTGGATAGGTAACGTATAAGTACTGGTCTGTCAGTACTTATACTCGGGGCAATGTTTAGTGAATGGGTTCTCATAGAGGGAAAGTTTTGGGTCGAGGTTTTGGGTGAACCTTTGGCGATCGCCGAAGTCGACCGGGAAGAGTGGTCGCACGGACGAGTCCACTTGCATCTGGGGACTTCCACTCTGAGCTGGCGGTCTGATGATCACTTCCTGTCGGGATGACTGTTGATCGATGGTGTTCCTACGTGACGATCCTACGACGTGGTTCTGACAGACCTGCAGACTCTTCAATCGTGGTTTTGTTTACTACATCCTGTTCCTATTGTCCTGGTAGTGTCAGACCTTGCCGCATGCAAAGGATATGGCCTAGCCACGGCTGAGGGAGAGAGGCTTGGTAGTGACCTACCTGATTACTCATGAGCGAGGGGCGCTTAGGGCCAATAGACCTGGTGGCGTGGGAATACGGTACAGTGCCTTCGTGTGTGTTGGCCACAACGCAGCATGGTGCGCATTTGATTCCAATGGGCAGTGATGGGAATGAAACGGTGAAATGCAAGGCGTAAGCTGCACAACTTCGGTAGTTGCAGGACGTGCGTACGTGCACCTTGTACTGTCCGTACTTCAAATTTCGGTAATCTCTTAATTCAGATTGCTGGATGTCAGGATGTGAGGGGAAGGGTAACCTGGGAAATATCATGACAGACGTGAGCTAGGAATTCTTATCTGGTCAAGGGGTACCCAAGCATATCTATCAGCTTTCGCTTTGTAAGAGACTTATCGTCATGACGCAGAAATCTATGTTTTTATATCCGTACACGCGCGATGAGGGGATTTGAGTCAAATCAATCTTACGGTAACACATACACATCACCAATCGATGTTCAAATAAATATACTGACAGGAAGCAATGTGCTTTATTTTCACATTCTCTTCAGCTTTATATCCTGGTGCTGAAATAAATATTTATGGCTACGTGCTACATGGGACACGGATAGAGGAACACATCCATACACGTACACAAATCCTCCACCTCAGGAACAGGACACGAATCATCATCACGAATAGCACCAGTCAGGCAAGCGCAGAACGAGGTGAAAGTACAAACAAGGCAATTACACCCCACGATAGCAACCATTGCACTGCAAGTCCGCGTCAGAAATACAATCAAAGACCGGATCATGTAGACCATCAGGTCATCTACCCACCTTTAAGAGGGTAGCTTCACTGATCCACCACGTCTCAAGACAAGCAGCGCTGGGCACTACACAACCCAAGCAGCGCCTTCGGCAAAACCACCATAACCTTCCTCGCACCCTCAACATCGCGCCATGCCAAGTCAAGGACAAAGGTCAGAGGGAACGGATGCGCTCTCCTCAACATCGCGCTGACAGCCGATGCTTAAGGACGGCCAAAGCAACAACGCGGCTACCACTCGCAATCGAGTCCGTAAAGGCTAATCCTAGGGTCGCGTTCCACCAACGCCGCCTCCAGGGACGGCAAAAGCAAACGCCTAATTCGCAACACAACATTCGCGCGAATCTCTCTGTCGACAACACACACAAACACGCACACCACGCAGCATCCTTTCAGATGGCTGAAGCGCCCTGCGCAGTGGGAGCCACGCATCCGAGCAGGGGTCGGTTGCGCCCCTCCAGCCATCCAACCAAGGACGGTCCAATGTCCGCGCAACGCGCTCCCGTGCGGCCACAAGGTGGTACACGTACGTAGGCTGTCTGGCTGTAGCTACACGGCGCACTCCGGAAACAACTTGCTGCTGCTGCTGCTTACAATAGCGGTCACAATACTTCTTGCTTCTGCTCACAGTCTTCCTCCTCCTGGATTATTCCTGAAATCTCCATCCAATCTCAACACCCTCCGCCATTTGCATCAGTGCACTAGGACGAGCACGCCATGGAACATGAAATGCACCACCCCGCTAATAACACCACCACCACCAGCATGGACAGCAATCCAGTGGTGAGCCACCGCAACGCATCTCCCTAGAGAGCCGAAATACCCCCGAGGCAGCAACAGCAAGCAGCAGCAGCTGGTAATTCCCCGAAGCCACTCAGCCGCCGCGCTGCCTCCATGCACTTTAATACAAAATATTCCCCATTCCCGTCTTCCCCATTCCCAAATGCCGCCAGAGAAAGAAAGAAAGGAAAGCATTACGAATCGAAACCCTGATATCAAGTGATATTACGGCTCGTCCAAACCCTTCAGCTGGGTCCGCAACTAACTACACACTCTTCAGCCACCTCATTGCTGTTTCTTCCCTCCGCTGCCACCGGCGGCAATCGCTGGCATCTGCGGCGCCGCTGCTGCCGTAGTCGGAATCAGCTTTGACAATCCGCGCGCCTCCTTGTCCGCCTCGTACTGCTCTGGCGTATGGAGCGTGCCCATAAGCCAGTCCATAAACACAAAATAGTGTCCATAGTTGTGCTTGTAAGTGGTGTGGTGGATAGTATGGTAGCCGGCGCCCATGACGGGCCAAACGCGCGCGTGCAGGCAGTCGTGGATGTTCGCGGTCCAGACGCCGGTCGCGAAGAGCAAGATTTCGTGGGTTAGGAAGTGCATGGGGCAGTAGAACAGCGTCCAGGTGTACGGCACGGCCTGCAGGATGCCGTCGATGGGATGGAAGGCCAAGCCGGCAAACGGCGACAACGTGTGCTCCTTGTTGTACTTGTGGTGGTCGTAGTGCAGGAACCTGTCAGTGAAAGAAAAGCGAACGGCAGGGGCGGAGGATGTGTGGTGCGGCAGCAGCCGCTCGTAAGGAAGGGGTACAAGAGGGGTGGTACCAAGAGCCGGTGTAGGTGCAGGTGTAGATATTGGTGTTCCAACGAAGGGTGGAAGACCTCCCGAGAGGTATTGTGGAGTAGAGCACAGAAGGACATAAAGAGGGGTAACCTGTGCACCAGTGTGCAATAGTGCACAACGGCGCGCGCGAGAACACAACAGCGGGAAAATGGACCGGACGCTTTCCCAGCAGGTTGACGGGTAGGAAATGTTGGGTTGGGGTTAGCCATGCCATGCCAGGCAGGCAAGGACACGGAGACTCCCTTCCCTTCATATCAGTACCAAACACGAATCTCCTCCTCCTGACCTACATACCCACATATATCCCCTTCTCTTCGTAGGCGCCTAGCCTAGCCTAACCTGGCTGAACAACACACAGGAACCACACCCCTAGCTGGGTGGTGCGGTAATGCACGGACAATGCACACTGGCATGTGGTCCATTCCATAGGACCCCCCCCCTGCCATTCCAGGGGTCAAGGGTCTCCCCTTCTCTCTCCTTTCCTCTCCCCCTTGGTGACCTGACCCACCTGTAGGCCCACTTGATGTCGTGGAGCAGGCGGTGCATCCAGTACACCCCGAACTCGACAGAGGCCATGTAGAGGAAGAAGTACAACACGTAGGCGGGCAACCCCACGTTAGCCACGCGGGGATATGCACACGTCCAGCCCTTCTCCGCTGCGTACTCCGTTAGCGTCGGAAGCATGGAGTACAGCGGCATGGCGATGTTGGAAACCTAGGCAGGTAAAGTAATCAGCGGGACGAACGAATGGGGTGAAAACAGAGGTACAAATAGATAAAGGCAGATAAACAGGACCCCATACATCGAGGGGGACCCAGAGCTCCATACGTCACACCATCGGAGGTACATCCATCCAAGTTATCCATCTAGCTATCCCAACCATCCCCAAAATTGCTTCTGTAACGTGGTAACGTGGCGTAGCAAAAGGAGCGTGCTGAGCACTCTGGGCACTGGATGATGCAGCAGTGAGTGTGGACCCTATGAGGTTGGAGGCCGCAAGCGTACGGACAGACATGCATCACTCGACATACAAACACACGATGGGTGTAGTGTGCCGGATCTCGGGGTAGTGGCCACAACCGTATGGCCCATCAAACGCCCACCGTATGAATGTATGCGCGGGGCCAAGGTGCATGGGTCCATGATGGCATGGCATGGCTCTACTAGGTTTCTACCTGCTTTTAGTTTGGGTCGGGATCTAACGGCGGAAGCGTTTGGAGCTTCAATACTATCGGCTCAGCAGGGTGGGATGCTCCGTGTACGCCGCCCCATCGAAGTAATGCTAATGGGTCAGGGCGTTCAATCGACGTTCGAGGTCGGGGAACTAGGTTTCAGACTGATGCCATGGGGAACAAAACGATATCACGGCGCCCCTTACTCAACCCGCGTCTCCTCGACTACCTACCCGAATTTGCTCAGCGACATCTTTGAACGCTGGCATGGTGTCCGGTGCAAAGAGCTTGTCGCCAAAGCAGAAATAGATATAATAACTCCAGACGGCGCCAATGCCGAAATACACAAGCGCGCAAAGAATCCAACAACGCAGCCAGGTCTGCCAGAAGTGGGGTATCTGCTCACGAATGCCATCAGGGAAGATCCACATGACGAAGCTGTTCAACCACTCGTTCTCCTCCTTTAATAGCCGCAAGCGCTCCTCCTTAGGCATGTCCGCCATGGTCGCGAAGGACGCAAACCAGTCTTGAACACCGCTGCGGTTATTAATGGAGAAAGAGAAGACTTGTCGGGAAATAATACAGACGTAGGACCGCCAGCGACCGCTCTGTCAAACCTTGACCAATGAGAGTTTGGGCGGTATGAGGGACGCGTAGCGACGCGTCGCAGAATGCCTATTTGCAATCAGAGGTAAGTCACAGCCCCTACTACGGCAGTCCGGGATCCGTTGTGCAAGCAAAAGGGCCAGGAACCACGGACCTGGCGGCATCTGCCGCGTCCCCCGTACCTAAGCAGCGCCCCCGAATGCCCAGTGATCTCGTCCACCGTCGATGGCTTTGAATGCAATGCCTGAAGCGACAGAAAATGCAGCACTCGCTTATGCCGGTGTCTGACTGGCTCTCGATCGTGTGCTCTGCGCACCTCCACCGGCTTGCCGTCATGTGTCAATAAGTGGCTAGACGCGAGAACAACACTAAAAATGGCGACAAGTACCAGGGTTCTTGTAAGTGTGCTGGCCATCTCGGCGAGCGGCGGGCCACTCGGCCCGCTGATGATGTGGGAGTATGAGCGGTCGGTGATGCACTTTTCGTTTGGCTAAGGCTAGAGTTTTAAGCAAATAGATTATATGCAACCCAGAATGCTATGTACCTTGCAAGCACGCAATGTCAACGCCATGCTGCTTCAATTAATCTGACCTTCACTCAATAATAGTGCCGTACATGTACGCCCAGTACCTGCAATGTTTCCTTCATGTGTCTCATTTCAAATTCTGGTTAATTTGTAATGACGGTACACCTAGACCGCGTATCGAGGTATGTGACGGAACACCAAACAAGACGTAACGTTTACAAACCGCGTGACATCAAAGCATTGTATTCTCAAAGGCATCTAAGTCTTAGTCTTAATTAAGTGCAAAGTTGTACGCACAAGCCTGCTTTACTTTTCGACACAGCCGCCAAGGTTACGGAGCTACATCGGGTGCTGGTTAATCGTCCAGCCGCACGCGCTGCGACATCGGACAATGCAGTGTTGGCAGATACCTACAGGCGGAGTTTTGGGGCGGGGGGGAGCTGCAACTGGCCGCAGGCCCTGTCGCACACCCGCTCTCCGGGCCGTCGCCAAACTGAAGTACCGAACTAACATCGCACAAAATCACACCCGCAAGTCGGTCTGGATAAACATCGACTACGACAGGCTGTACACACAGCCGACGTATAACCCGGGGCGTCAAGTCGGGCCCATAAAGTTGCAGCCGTTACCAGGTACGACAGAATTGCCTTCGAAGTGGCACGAAGGTTCGTTACCGTGGGGGTTAGGTTGGGGGGAAGCCCCTTACCCCCGCCCCCGCCGGCACACACACATACATACATACACACACAGAAGAACGCGACACGGCACAACATGCGTAAACATAGGCACAGCAGGCAAGCAGCAGCACAAGGAGGGAGGAGGGGCCGCCCAGCCTCCGAATCTTGAAAGCTTCTGAGTTACCCTGCTGCAATACGGCAGTACGGCATGGCCGTGTATACGGCAACGGCAGTACGGCATGGCCAATCGTTGGTTTTGCCTGGCCTGAATAGACAAGCTGGCCTGCTCGCACCCCCTCAAATTCGCAGCCCCAAGCCCCCTCCCTGAAGCCCCCTCCCTGTTTAATGGAGATACATACATATATACATTCAAATCCGCCTGCCAGCTCCTCGGGTGTTTGAGGAGTGTTGAAATGGGAGGTGGCCCCCCATCATATGGACGATGTAGGACGTGATAAAATTAACTTGCGAGCTGACCAGGAACTAAGTTGATGCGCCGTTGATCCGCTAGATTTGGTTGGATGCTGGTGATGAGTTGCCGAACCTAACGAATACATTCTGAAGTCGGATGGGGTGACGGATTAGGGTGCCCCTCTAGCAGGGGAGAGCAGGGAACAACTGCCCCGGGAAAGGGGGCCGCTGGCGAAGTTAACCACCCTGTAACAACATACATACATACATACATACACACAGGCATAACGTCATTTCCCAGCCCCAAAGTACGACTGACTTGTCGCTACCATGCTCACCCCAGGCCGCGGTCGGGGCCTGGTGGCGGATCGCGACATCCCCGCGGCCGAGGCTGTGTTGCTGAGTGAGGCGGTTGGGGGGGTGCTACGAGGGCCCCCGGGGGCCGAGCTGCGGCCCCGCCAGCTCGCCGAGCACCTGGAGCGGCTGCAGAGGGCCGGCAGTGGCAGTGGCAGTGGGGGCGGCGGGGACGGGGACGGGGTTGGACTGGGGCCGCCGGACAGGTGGGTGGGTGCTGAACGGCTCCAGGGGGGGTAGGGGGAGGCGAGGCGAGGGAGGGGGGGAAAGGGGATTGTATGGGGGAAAGGGGGAAAAACAAAACCGGACCCAGCAGCCGAATTATATCGCCGGATCCCGCGTATGCTCCGAAGCCGCCACTGGCTGATTGATTGCAAACTGAATCTTCAGCTAAGATATCAAGCCATAAGGCCATAAGGCCTCCGGGGGAGGAAGTTAGGATTAGGATTAGATTAGGCCCCACATCGCCCCTCCCTGGGGCTGAGATGCTCGCGGTGGGGAATGATTGTGAAGGATGTGGTGTGTATGGTGGTTGCCGTACAGGGTGCGCTTGCGGCTGTTGTACGACGGCTCCCCACCTGATTCCCCTCGGTCTCTCCGGAACCGCGGCGCCTCCCTGGAGGCCGATTTCCTCAAGTTGGAGGACAAGCTGAGGCGGGCGGCGGAGGCGCCGAAGAAGGCCAAAGGAAAGGGTTTCGGAGCGCCAGCGGCGGCGGGGGCGGCGGCGGCCGCGGGAGCTGTAGGCCAGACCGACTACAAAGGCAGCGTCGATGCAGGTGCTATGCAATACATACATCCAGACAGACATACTATAGCGAGCTTTTGATAATGAGCACACACAGACTTGAAGCTTGTTGGAATTGTGGCTGTTCGGGTTCTGTTGTGTTCGATTCAAATTTTGAATTTTGAAACTTTGGACTCGTTGTCCCGTCGGGGGTTCCCGGGGTCCTTACTCGTGAGTGAGTGAGAGTGGGTTTGACGGGCTGTGCCGTTGTTTTAGTGGGCGCTCGTTTGTTCCGTACATCCGTACATCCGTACCGGAACGACAATCTTCAGGCAATCACAATACCGCCGTCCGTCCGTCAGCCATTCCGTCCCCCTCGGGCCCCCATGTGGTGAACACGTCGTGGTTATATATATATATACATACAGATACCGAGACACTGATTGCCTCAGTGGTCTCGGTGCTTTTGCGGCTTTTCCCGTGTTTCTCTCTTCCGCCTGTTCGCCTACCTTCGCCTTCCTTTCCGCAAAATCGGCAAGTCGGCCAGTTCTCCCCTCTCCGCCTTCACGTGATGTCACAATTCTCTCCCTTCCCCCCCTTTCCTTCCTGCCCCTCCTCCGCCCCGTTTCCTTCCCGCCGTAGCCTCTCTGTCTGGTGCCCCCCTGCAGCCAGATGAACTCCTCCGTACGGCATTGTACAACAGCTGGGGTCATACGGCGGGGGAGCTGGGCGCCACCGCGTTGAGGGGGGAGGTCTCGGGGGCCATCATAGGTGCGTGTGTGACTGTTTTCCTGTTGGCCGCCGCGACTGGCCGCGACTTATGGCGTATCAGTTTATCCTTGGCATCAGCTTCTCTCGTTCAGGTGGTTCGTCTTCCCCCACTCCTTTTTCTGGTTTCCTTGCATGGATAATCCCTTCGTCTTACATCCCCCCCACCCCCTCTCTGCCTTGCATGTGCCTTTACCCGCTGCTCCTGCTGCCTGGCCAGGTGAGTCCAAAAGGTGGTTCGAGCTTCTTTGGTATTTCGCGTTGGTGTCGGTAGGCTAGCCGGAATAGTTTAGTTTGGGTCGGTCGGGTCAGTCGCGCGTTCTAGTTTTTTTGGGGGGTTGGGAGGAACACTTGCATACCGGCAGCCTTTCAGTATCAGCAATGCAGCTTTCTTTCCTGGCCAGCAACTTTACGCCTCTTTTACGTCAGCATTTTTTCTCGCCGCATTTTTTCTCGCCGCCTTCACTACTTTTTCTACACCTACTAGTTTACGGTTTGGCTATAATATTTCTGGCGGCTTAGGTAGGTAGGACTTCCAACATCTACGTCAATTCTTCGTCCCGAGGTTACAGTCGTCATCTCGAGGTTACAGTCGTCACAGTCGCCACGGACGCCTTTCGGTCAGTTCTTTCGGTTGCTACTATCTTGCCCTGGCAGCAGCTTCAATCGCGTGTGGTTCGTCTTTCCCACCCCCCCCACCCCACCACCACCACCACCACCGGGTGGTCCTCGGGGCCCCTTTTGAGGGTTATTGGGTGGGGGTTGCAGCCGGAGTTGCTTGTCCCGTCACGCTCCCTTCACAGCGCTCCCTGCTGTATCTGTCCGAATCCTAATTAGGCATCTGGCCGGAATTTGCGCTGCTGAACCACTCTTGCGCCCCCAACACCACGGCCTTCGCCGTCGGGGATCTCATGCTGGTGCAGGTAAAGGGGGGGGAGGGGGGGTAGCGGGGAGAGAGTGTGTGTGTGTGTGTGTGTGGTGGGGGCGGGAGGGGGACGTAAGGCCCCCGGGTGCTTTTAATTTATTGTTAATGTGAATAAATGGACGCCGCGAGATGATGGAAGTGCGCAACTGTACGGAAAGGGGTTGACCTGTAGGGGGAAAAGGCTGTTGTGGTGGTTTGGGTTTTCCAGTTTTTTTAGTTTGAATTTCGGTTGCCTCCTCCGCTCCCTTATGGGGCGCAACAACGGTACTTACTTCCCCTTGCATTTCTCCCCCCCCATATGTATAACACCATATAACATATAACACCATAAAAGAGGCAAAAAACCTGAAAACGTCTCTTCCCCCTCCCCCGGTACGCCCCCCCTGAAAACGGGATCCCTCCCCCCCCGGTGTAAAAGGCAGTTCAGGACATTTCCCGCGGTGCTGAGGTGACGACCAGCTACCTGGGGGAGCTGGCACTGGCGCCCCTGGAGCGCCGGAGGGAGTGGTTGAGGGGCGCGTACGGCTTCGAGTGCGAATGCGACCGATGCACGGTGCGCGGCGGCGGGGGTTGGGGTGGGTGGGTGGGTGGGAAGGAGCAGGAGGCGTCACGCTGTATGTATGTATGCATGTATGTATGCTCAACTAGACTTAGCTAGAAGCAGCAGCCCCGCACAACGTTGTTCACCATTGATATATTTTAATGTTATTCAGCACACGTCCCGTCGTTGTTAAGGATAGGGGGATGAGGATGGGTTGGGAATGAGGATGACGATGAAGGCAATGGCGACCAAGACCATACCGCTGTCCCCCCATCCGTGCAAGTGCTGTTATCTATTATTGCTGCCGTATTCCTGCCGTACAGGCGGAGGCCTCCATTCCCCCGCCTGTGACGGCGGCAGTAGCGGCAGCCTACCAGTCGGCACAAGCTCTGAAGACCAAGACCGAGGGGGAGGCAGCTGCGGCCGGCGGCGGCGGTTGGGATCTGGAGGCGTCATCTGTACGGCAGTTGGGACCAGCTGTGACGGCGGCGGTGGAGCAGCTGGAGGCCGCCATGGACTCGGCGGGGTTGCCCGCCCGGACACGGTCCTGGCTCCGCGCGTCCGCCTACACAGCCTACTACGCCAGGGCGGCTTTGAGGGATGTTCCCGGGGGGAGTGAAGTCGGTACGGGAGGAGGAGGGGGAGGTGGTGGTGATGAGGGTTGTGGGAGTGTGTTGTTTGGTCGCGGCGGTGATGCGTCGCGGTCGCCGGTGCCCTACAGCGACCCGGCTATTCCTGCTGAGCTGGCGGAGGTGATCTCGAGCGTTGCCTCAGGTGAGGGGGTGTGGATGGCGGCAGTAGGAATGTATGTGTGTGTGCATGTGTGTATGGGGGGGTGGGGTGTTTGGCTGGTAGGGGGAAAGGGAGATGCTCATGTCATTTACATGCCTACGCTGCCATTCGTTGTAAAGCGAATATGTCCATCTGTATATATATGGGCTATCTGGGCGCCCTTTGAGACGGGCTTTTCTCTCGTCGGCTATTTGTTCACGTCCCCCGTGCGGCCTCCCCTACAACCTCCCGTACACGGCAATACAGGTACGGACCTTCACCTGTACCTGACGCTGGAGGCGCTGTCCCGCAGTGCGGAGTCCTTCCCCCGAGATGACCCACGGGTCGCTGAGGCCACCCGGATCTGCCTGCGTGCCCACATCCTGAGATACGGCCGTACCTCAGATACCGTACTGCGGGAACTGCTACAGGCCCGGAGCACCTACCCCCACTACCTGGGCCGGTAGGTGGCTCGCCCCCCTAACCTCGGGGGGCTGGGGGGGATTTAGGGTTTTAGGTTATGCTGGTTGGCGGGATGGCGGCTGTATAGGGCCCTACAGGTCTCGGAGCAGTAGCGAAAGGAACAACCGTTCAACCCCCTCGCTGCCTCCGCGGGCAGGTAGGTAGGGCTAGGTAGGGCCGGTGAGGGGAGGTTAGGGTTGGGCTCTTACTTGCCGCCACCTCATATCCCCTTGGTCCCCTCTCTCGCCGGTGGTGGTCTCGATGGAAGCGACCTCTTGACTTCTCCTTTCCTCTCCTCCGACCCCACCTCCCCCCCCCCCGGCGCCCCCCTTAGTGTCGACTGCAGTGCCTCCGCACCCTCGGGGCCCGCAGCGCAACATCAAGAACAACAGCAACAGGACGGGGAGCGCCAACAGCCCCTCTTCGGTTCGGCTGCCTGGGTGGCCGCCAGCCCGGTGCAACTCAGAGAGGCGGCGGCGGCGGCGGCCGCAGAGCTAGCGGCGGAGGCAGCGACGAAGGGAGGGGAAGAAGCGCCTGCGGCGGCGACGCCCGGCGGAGTGTGATGACGATGATGATGATGATGGTGACTGTTCATCTAGTCGAGTCGAACGGTGTTTTTTGGCATGAGTTTTTTTTAGGAAAATGAAGTGAGTGGTGCGTGTTGAGGTGGTATTGATGAGATCGCATGGCCGGGCCGTGGCGGAGATGTTTTGGGAGTTATGGGGGTTATGGGTGCGGGTGAAGGTGCGGGTCTGTTGAGGCCGTTCTAGGGGAATCCTGTGTGGAGCGCCAGTCAACAGGAGGACACCGCTGTCGCCGCTGACCCACATCGAAACTGATCCAGCATGACGTGGTTCCGGCTGGAGGGGGTCCCGGAGGCGATTGACGCGATTGCCCCAGGGAGGGGGCCCGGATGTGCGAACGGGATGTGTGCGTTTTTTAGGTTGATGGCCTTTTTTCGTGTAGGCCGTGCGGCTATTTTTGGTTTATGTTGCTGTGGTCATGTTTTGTGGTAAGGACAACTCGCCAGACGCCTACGATAGGGTGGTGATGTTTTCGCTGGTAGCGTCAACCCTGTGGTTTGCAAGTTCTGTTATAACCTATATGGAATTGAACTGGTCGCTATGTTTATACTTTTTATCCTTTGCTACACCTGTCTTAAGCTAAGTTGTGACCTTTTAACTTCGATTCGCTTCATATCTATCGTGGCTCGCATTTTTTGACGCATTTAGCCCGTCTGGCGCAACCCTACAAGGACCCACAGGGAAAGCTTTATGGTTAAGTGCTGTCAACAGCATAATTATAATCTGGGAGCGAAGGCCGAAAGCATGACAAATAGAGGCGAGCAACAGCTGGTGACGCCACACCTCGAACGTATCTCCGAGGCTGTTGCCATCTGTCTTAATTGTGCAGTTTCCTGGGATTCGACTTCTGGGGTATGTGGGTGTATTCGTGGAACTCGGGGGTACGTTCGGTGTCCAGCTACCTGAAGCAGCGCAAATGCGACTGAAACATCGGACTTCCTTAGGGTATATGTTTAAAATGTTAAGGGCATAAATAATCTGTTTGTTTGTTGGATAAAGGAAGCAGATTGGTGTTCATGCGTGTCGCCTTCATGGGTGCCGTGCAGCACCGGGACTTGATGCATGCAAATCCCCAAGTACGAATGCGATGTCTTTCTTGGAAATTTACATTGCGTTTGTCCTTACACACATCGAAGGGGAGTAAGGTGTACCAACGTTGACGCAAGTTACGCCAAGTTAGAAACGGTGACAACTGCTTTACATTTTGGCTTTTTTCATATTCTTTTATGCGTTGTTGGAGAAGTCAAGCTATATAGTTGCTAAGGGCAGACTTGCTGCGTTCAGCGGTGGTTAACCGGTTCGACATATAGCCGCGGCTCAAGCTTAAGCAGGCGAAAGCGAATGCTCTAACATGTTGAAAGCTTTTAACCGGTCTGTACCTATCACACCTGCTGTTTCCGTCAACAACACTCCGAATGGACCCGAACAACAAGTTGAACCGCAGCAGTCAACCCCGCCCCTTGACGTCCGACGAACCTCCTTGACGCTTAATTTAGATGAAGTCCAGACGGACGGTGGCGATGGCGCCTCTTCTGTCGCAGCGAACAATCCTGTCTTCTATGCTGGCGTGATGGTACGGGGCCATAAAGGGGACTTGGTGCGTCTGTTTGAATTGCCACCGACGGAGGTAAGCACCTGGGACGAATCTGGGGGCAGTCGGACGCCACTAGCTCGTGCAGGAAAAGTCTCGATGACGCGGCCACTGCTTTCCCGACAGCGCCTACTGGGAGACTTTCATTGCGCGATGCGAAAAAGGGTGCTTTTACAAGTAAGTCGGCTGCGATGACATCACGATTCTTGGCGTCGGTCGTGCGCCCGAAGTTGTCGACAGCTACTTGACCATCCCTTCGGGGGCCCCGTCGCGCGCAGGGACGAATGTACATCTTTGATCACTACGTCTGCTTCTACTCGGCCGTTTTTGGCTTCGCCAAAAAGCGCCGGATGCCAACGCGGGTAATAGCACCTAAAAGGGGAGGCTGCGCCGTTAAGCTGCCACACCCCTGCCGCAACGCGCGCATGTGTGCCGCGGGGTCGCCAGCGCATCATTTGCCACCCCCCTTCCATCTGCTCCCCTTCCCACGCCAATCCAACCATCGATTCACATCCCTGCTTCGCTCTCAATGCTGCTGCAGACAATTAAGGCTGTGCGGAAAAGGAAGCACCTGGGTTTTCCCAACTCCCTCGAGGTGAGCCCGGCTGAATAGACTGACAGACTGGGTAGGGTGGGTAGATGGGACGAGACACTGGGTGGCTTATCCGCGGTGGTCTCTCTCCAGCAGCAGCAGCAGCAGTAAGTGGGGCCGGAACAGCGGCAGCTGGGGGTGACCTTCCCCCCTTAAGAGTTGTGCGCTCTTTCTCTCTCTCCTCTCTCTCGCTCTCTCTGGGAGCTGAGGGTCGTAGCACACCCACCGGGGAGGGGGTGATGGAGAGATGCGGAGGAGAGGGGCCCCAGCTGGGGAGGCATGGGGGTGGGGCGGGGCGGGGTAGTGCCTGCCGGGGTCCGGGGCTTACAGTCGCCACAGAGCTGACAGTCTCCCTCCGGGCTAGTCTGGAATCCCTGTTGCCCCTTTGAGGAGGGCCCGGAGATGGAGGGGAGAGGGGAAGGGGCGAGGCCTCGGAGATGCCTTTGTGTCTGTCTGTCTGTCTCTCTGTGTACGTCCGGATGCACATCCTGGTGGTATGCGGCAACGGTTGTAACGGAATGCCCTCTCCCTCTCCACCCCTTCCCTCCTTATTTCCCTTCCCCCTTCTTTCTTCCCCTCACCAGATTGAGACGGACGATTACAAGGAGTTCTTCACCTCGTTTCTCTCCAGGGAGGAGGCCTACCAGCTGATCAATAAGCAGCTGCAGGAGGCCAAGTGAGGCGGGGGGGAAAGGGTTGCTGAGGGGGAGGGGGAGGAGTGTCTCAGAAGGGGGAGGGGGAGGAGTGTCTCAACTGCTTTACTGCTATATTTCATCCTCCGCATCCTTCGGGTTACACCCCCCTCTGTGCGTGTATGTATGTGTGTGTGTGCAGGCGGTCAGGTTTGGAGAGCGGCTCGTCCCGGGTGCGCCGATCCACTGACAACGGCTCCTTCTTCAATGGGGGTGGGTGGCAGGAGGGAAAGGGTGGCGGGCGGGAAAGGGTGGCAGAAGGCGGGGGAGGAGAGGGGCGTTTTATGTTTGATGTTGCGACATTATCATCCTCATCATCGCCGTCATTTGCCTCCCCCCGGCCCTTCCCCTCACTTCCCCGCTCCTGGATGGTTTCGGAGCAGCAGGTAACGGCACCATCCACGAGCAGTCCAGTCCGCAGTCCGCCTCCAGGGGTGGCACCCTGGACGGTGGGGGTGGCCGGAGAGGGGGAGGGGGTCCTCATGGCGGGTGTGGCAGTGGCGGGGGAGCTGCTCGCGGCGGCCTCAACGGCGAGCGGTCCCTGCTGACCCGCCACTCGGGCTCCCTAGGGGATGACGACAACGACGATGAGGAGGTAGGGGGCAGGGGGGGGGAAAGGGGGCAGGGGAAGGGGGAGGGGGAGGGGAAGGGGGAGGGGGAGGGGGGAGGGGAGGAGGTCCTACACGCAGACATGCAAATACAGTACAATTCAAATATTCACCACAAATAAACCTGTGCTGATACACGTCCAAAACACACCAACATCAGGCAAGTATTAATCTTTAAAAGTATCATGTGCGCCATTCATGTGTGGCATTCTAAGGCAGTACAGTACAAGAGCAGTACACACCCGGCTCCTGACGGGTTAGGGGGTTTTCAGGAGCCAGCCGGGGGATATATCCGCTCCTGCTGTGGAGGTTACCAGGTAGCGGGCGGCCGGAGACACACACACACACACACGCGCGCGCGCGCGTACCCCCCCCCGCCACCGAACGCCTTTTGGTCAGTTCCACGTCTGGTACACCCTTGCCCTGGCAGCAGCAGCTTCACTCGTTCGCGCTTCGTCTTTTCCCCGCCACCGTCTGGTCTGCCCTCCCATGCCCTACCGTACTACTGCCTCATCATCATCGTCGACATATGGGCTCCTGCGGCAATCTTTACAGCGCTTGGGACGCACAGCACTGGATACTTCGTTTTTCCCTAGGTTTGACATCAACGTCATCCTCGCATCATAGGATCTACGCGTACCCCCCCCCCACACACACACGCCACCAGCACCACCACGCCCCCCACACCAGCTGCGCTCCTCTTCTTTTGTTTGGAGCCCATTACAGCCTTACATGCATGTTTACACAAACATACATACATACATACATATGCCTGTGCACGCAGGACAGCGGAAGCGTGTGGGTTATGGAGCCACGTCCCGCCCCGGCCGTAGCCGCCGGATCCCGTCATGTACTGCATACGACACTGCCGGGAAGTCCCCGGGAGTTCTTCGATGTCGTACTGGCGGACAGTGCGCCGTTCTTTGAGGACTTCCTGGATAGCCAGGTGGGGGATGGTGGGGTTCGGTACGGAACACATACATACATACAGACATTTAGACATCAACGAGGTCAAACCCCTCCAGCTCTGGGCCATCACCAATGCATACATGCATACATACATACATACACACGTACAGGCAGACAGACACTAACAGCCCGTCCGTCCTGGCCCCTATTATACATACGTACATACGCACGTACAGGGCAATCGGCGCATCAACCTGACCTCCTGGAAGCGCCACCCTCAGCTGGGGTACGTGAGGGACATGAACTTCACCGCCCCCATCAAGGGCGCGTTCGGCAACTGGGGGGTGAGCCACACCGCCTGCTTTCAGTCCCAGAGGTGGGTGCCGTACAACTGGGTGGCAGACAGCCAGGGGGGTGATGGTAATATACCGAATACGGGGGGAAAGTTGGGTAAGGGGCGGTGAGGAGGGGAAAAGACGAACCACGAGCGAGTGAAGCTGATGCCAAGGAAAAACTGATGCGCCAGAAGTGAAGAAAGCGTAACTAACCAGTCGGCGGTTGTGAAGGAGGAGCCCTTGCGATGATGTTAGTAGTCATGACGATAGCAGAAAACCTACCTACCTAGCAACCAATATTAAACTAAAGTGCGGAAAGAGAGCAGGAAAACCAAGCGTAATATTCTAGGGGTACGTGTAAAGGCGGCGAAGAGCAAAAAGCCTAAGGGGGAAGGGGAAGGGAAGGGGGGAAAGGAGGAAAAAAACACGTTGCAGCGCACCGCACGCGCCGGCACACATCGTGTTACCGTTGTTATTGTTGTGGACGAGACATCCGCAGTTTATATTCCGCGGGGTAGATTGGGAAAGGGGAGTATAGGGTTGCACCCCACCAGAAAAGCAAAGTGTGCCACTTTGCCAGCATATGTAACTTTGTGCCTTCTGTCCCCCCTGTCCCCCTGTTGTTGTTGCTGTCGTTTTTCCTTTCTTCCTCTTCCTCTTCCCCACCTCCCTGTCAGGTTCTGTCTGTACGAGGACGAGCACATCGTGTTCGAGAGCAGTCAGACGATGACGGACATTCCGTACGGCGACTGCTTCACCGTGGACCAGCGGTGGGACATCCGCCGGGAGGTGTTCGTGTCAGAGGGAGGGGGGGCGGACACGGGGGACAGAGCCACGGTGGGTGCGGGTTTTGGGGGGGGTTTGGGGGGTGGGGGGGGGTGGAGTGGAGAAGAAGGGCGTGCGGGGTGGGCGGGAGCACATGACTGACGATGTGTTGTACAGTTGTGCATCAGGGTGAGATTGCTGTACGGCACAGCAGGGCGGATATGCGGTGTGACACGAGTGAAGGTCTGTGTAGTGTGCCTGTGTGTGAGAGAGAGAGAGGGAGAGGGGGGAAGTGTGTTTGTGTGTGTTGCTTGTGTGTTTGTGCTGTGGCCAGGATCGCTTTTCATTAACCGCACTGGGCGGGGAGGTCTGGGTGGTGGTGGAAAGGGCCGCATGCATGCATGCATGTGTTTTCCACGTCTCCACGTTTGCGACACGACACGACATTCCCGGGCACCCACACCAGCACCAGCACACACACCAGCACACACCGACGCACTAACCACCCTATCGCCACTGCTAGGGTACCCGGCGGGGCCAGGGGGGGCCAGGAGGACCGACCGACTCTCCATGCATGGGTCTCGTGGCTCCCCCCCTTCCCCCCGGGGTCCTCAGTCTCCCTCCCTCCCTCCCTCCCCGAGCAGCTTCACTCGTTCGTGGTTCGTCTTTCCCCCTGAAACCCCCAAACCGCCGTCCGTCAGTTTATTGCTGAATTCCTTGCATAAAAAAATCCCCCTTTTGACCACCACCACCACCACCCTGCCGTCGCCTCACCCTCGCCACCCGCCCGGGGCGCCGGCAGTTCACTCCTTGGGTCCTATACGCACACCATAATATAACCCCGCCCCGCCCCCCCACTCAACCCCCCGCCCCTCGCATTGTTGCAGATATCGTTCGACCTGCATGTGCGTGTGCCCTTCACCAGCCGTTGCCTGTTCAAATCGGTAAGTCGCATAGACCGTGGTGGATGGGGTGGGTGAGGGATTGGGTGGAAACATGAACGTAACGAACTGTAGGTCTGTGTGAGTTTTGTTATTGTTGTATACGATATGCTAGGGCTCCCCTGCTAAGGGGGCCCCCTC